GGGGGGGAAAAAAAAATTTAAGAAACCAAAAAAAAAAAAAAATTTTTTTTTTTTTTTTTTTTTTTTTTTTGGAAAAAAACGAAAGAAAATTAACGTCGAAAATGATGATGATGATGATTTAAGCAAATGATGATAAGTATAGTTAGCAGACGCCAATTTAAAAAAAAAATGGTGTACGGAATATGCTCGCATTTCGTACACCATTTTCATCGTTAACCGACGTATGATCTATATGGTGGTTTATTTTCGGAATTTTTTTTATTTTTATTTTGTTTTTTTTCATTTGCCCGATTCTATATATTTTATTTTTTTTTTTGCCGGGAACTACAGTTGTTGTTGTTGTCGTCAGAAAAGATAGAAAAAAATATATTATGAAATTTAACCTTGTTATGGTTGTTGTTGTTGTTTTATTTCAGAATCGTAATGGATTGTTGATTCCTATTGATTTTTGTTGTTGTTGTTGTTGTTATTGGAATATTTTCGTTTTTTTTCATATTAGAAAAAATCGATTTTTTTTTTACCAATTGGTATATATCGCATGACCAAACCAAATACATTGTTGTTGTTGTTGTTGTTCCATTGTTGTTGTTGTTGTTGTTGTTACTTTTAATGGGGCATGTGATACATATTGAATGAATTTCAAAGATCGTCATTGAACATAGATAGAATGGATATAGAAAATGACAAAAAATATAGAGAAAAACACATATAGAGAGGGGGGGAAAAAAAGCAACACAGTGTAGATTTTTATTCATCATCATCATCATCATCATCAAATATGCATGATGTTGTTGATGATAATATTTGTTGTTTGTTTGTTTGTTTGTTTGTATGAAGTTTTCGATTGGAAAAAAGAAAACACAGAATCAAATTACCAAATTGATAATAATAATAATAATAATGAAAAAGGACTGAATGATATAAGCAGAAAATATTATAAATAGAAATATAGAAAAATGAAACTTTTTCTCTCTGTGTGTTTTTCATTAATATGATTTTTTTTTCCCTTATGAACTTTGGCTTTTGTTTTTCTCTCCATAGGTTTGTTGTTTTAGGTCAATTTCGATTTCAGGTTAGTTCAATGATTCACCTTTATAATTCTGTTTGTTGCTTGATCATCATCATCCAGAATCAAACATTTTGATTTCAAACAAAATGTTGATTTTGGCTAACTAGAAAAGTACCCAGAATGGAAGAATTCAACAGCAAACAAACATTGAAAATTATAAAAGTTTTCTGGCTTGAAAACATCATCATCCAAAAAACAGTAAAAAACAAACCAGTTTTTAATCACACACACAAAACCAGTAAAATAATGATGGCGAAAATCCTGATCATCATCATCATTATTATCAGAAAAGAAAAAAAAAGATTATCATTATTTGCTGGGCAACCAGAAAAAAACTGAGAAATTAACCAAGAAAAATCATGTTCAAAGGTGCATGAAAAATCACCTAAATGCACCGAATATTTTTCCTATTTTCTTTCTTCTTTTTTTTGATAATCGAATGAATGAGAATCCCCCTCCTACAAATATAAGAAATTATTTGTGAAAAATATCATAATTATACATGTCATATATGGTAATACAATTGAACTTAAACAAAAACAAAAAAAAAAGAGATTAAGGCTTGAGAGAGAGAGAGAGAGAGAGAGAGAGAGAATTGGCCAAAAAAAAATAATGATTCCTGCAGAAATGTTTAAATTATTATTATCAAACACCCTAAACCTAAATTAAAATTGAAATTGTTGCTGAATAATGAGAATTTTTCAGTTCAGTTCAGTTAGGTTAGGTTAGGGGTTCAGTTTTCTCATGTTCAATGAATGTTAATGATGAATAATTCATTTCAACTATAGTGATTTTTTTTCGGGTTTCTTGTTTCTTCGAACAAACCATTGGAAACATTGAAACAAAAAAAGAGCTAATGATGTGGGTATATAAAAAAAACCTTCCTGAACACAGTCAGGAAATAAATTCAAAAAGAAAAAGAAGAAAAAAACTGCTTGATTAAATACGACATTGCAAGAAGAAAGCATTTTTGCTTCTTTGAAAATCTGTTGATTAATATTTCGTTTTTTCTCCAGTTAAGTTCAATTCAGACCAGAAGATATATATATATTCCGAATACAATCAAACCAAGTTCAAAGACCAGATAATGATATTCAAGCAACAGCCAAGCCAAGCCAAGAATTTTCGAGATTTTTTTTTGGTAACAGAAGAAAATTACCCCAAAAATTAATTAATATGATGGCAATCAGAAAATCAGAAAAAACATAATCATTATCAAGCTATTTTTAAAACCAGAAAACCAAAAATCCCATTATCATCAAGGCAATAAAAAAAAAATTGAAAACTAAACCAAACTTTTTTTTTATCAATTATCAATTGATTATTGTCAACAGACAAGAGATAGGGAGAGAGAGAGAGAGAGAGAGAGAGAGAGAGAGAGAGAGAGAGGA